CATCTCATATGCATATAGGTAGGACAATAGCCTCTTTAGGAGATACCCTATTAAGTGTGGCTCACCCTTTATGGGGACAACATTTATGGTGCGGGGCGAGCGTCAGTGGACGGCTCTCACTTGGACCCTTGTTGATGAAGAAAGCTGAGTTGTGGCTTTAGATTATATTTTTGTAAAACAATCGTGTAATTGGTTTTTGGTATGTATTGTAAATCGAACTCATATGAACTATTTTTTGTGTAAAATTTGATATTATATGAGTTTAAGTGAATGTTGTATGATATTGGATGAGTTGAAATTGAAAAAGGATTGAATAGGGGGCAAACTGGGCTGATCTACCAATAGAACGTTGAGTATGTACTAGTAAAAGAATTTCAGTGAGCTCTTCTACCGGTAGAATGTTGACTTTTACTGGTAGGTCCTCTTAAATTTTTAAAAATTTAAAATTATCTTATCAAGCCTTCGGGCCTTGAGTTTTTTTGTTCAAATGATATAAATAAAGTAATATTAAGGACGAATTAATATATATTGAACCTTGAAATGGTCAAGTAATTGAATTGTACACAAGTTTTGAGTTTGGGAGTGTTCGGTAAAAAAAAGATTCTGCCCAAACTCTGTGTTGTTTATGATCCCAGTGAAGGGGATGTTATGTCGTTGTGTCAGGTTATGTGGCATTCATGAGTACTTCCGCGAGTTGATGGGTGATCAACGGGTTGATAAATGACCCCCGATTTTAGGGGCGTCACAAGGAAAGCTAAAACACACCAAAAACATGGAGATTGTTGAGCAAGTGGTTATTTTCTTGTATATCCTCGCACATCACGTGACAAATCAAAAGACATGGGCTTCATTTATGTATTACTGGGTTGAGAAGGGTCAACGGCAGATGGTAGAGTACTTAGAGATGCCTTGATTAGAAGGAATGGGTTGGTGATGCATCGTGGTACCTACTTCCTTGTGGATGGGGGATATACCAACAATGAGGGATTTCTTGCCCCATTTAGAGGTCAAAGGTATCACTTGAGGGAATTGAGAGATAGTCACCAACCTAGGACTTCTGAAGAGTTCTTTAATATGAAGCATTCTTATGCTAGAAATGTAATTGAAAGATGTTTTGGGTTGTTGAAGAAGTGTTGGGGTATTTTAAAAAGTTTGTCTTTCTATCCCATCAAAATACATAACCGTATAATAATTGTTTGTTGTTTGCTTCACAACTACATTAGGAATCAAATGCCAATAAACCCAATCGAGGCGGAGGTAGATGTAGTAGATCTCATGGTGGAAAATGATGCACATGATGATCGTATTAACCATGGTTGAAACATCTGATGAGTGGTCGACATTTAGATTGAATTTAGCAAATAAAATGTTTGATGAGTGGAGAGCAAGTAGACAATGAGTGTAATTTGATTTTTAGTTTTTTAGCTCTCTGATATTTGTTTTTAAGTTGCAAACTGTCTAACTTTTTGAGCAGATTACGAGTTCTTCAACTGGGTTTTAAAATTTGAAACTATCTATAATGTTTCCCCTTTCTTGACAAAGTTCAGTGTTCTCATGTCTACTTGTTTAACTGATTGTATTTTGGGAATGTTTGCTTTTGCATTAGAATTATGTACAACTCTTTTTATTAGATAAGAGGGATATTAAGTGGTAATTTTTGAGATATATTTGTTTGGATGATAAACTTAGCCGTATTACCTATTTGTTTGGATGATGATAAACTTAGTTGGATGGTAAATGAACATATTTTTTGGATTTCTTTTGCTATGAAACACTATACAGGTAACTTCTATGCTATACATTGAAAATACATATTTGTGTTACTTAAGCTTGTTATCAAGTTTAATTACGTTTTCCGTGAAAAAGTTTTTTTTGTTATTATTTTGATACTTGCTTTGTACATTGATTATGATATCTTATAAAAAATGGCTACTAATCCATTGCCATTAGGGGTATTTTGGTTAAATTATATTTCATTCTAGTAAAAAAATTGGTCCATCCAAACATAAGAATGGAATGCGAATTTCATTTCGGCACTTAATCTCGATAGACGCCAAATATAGGAATGACAATGTCTATTCTATTTCATTCTTGCCCTCATTCCATTCCCACTTAATTCTATTATTACATACCAAACGTAGAGTTAGTAATTTAAAGTAAGATAATTAAATGAGATAAAAAATGAGATTTAAAGGGTGAGAATATCCCCACCTTTCATCTATGAATTTTATCTACACAAAAGTTGAGATTATATTTAAAAAGATTTGATAAAACCAATTCAATTCCTCGTCCCAAAACCTCCAAGCATGTTCTAAGGGATGACAACCTTTCCAAACACCAAGTTGTCCAATCAAAAAAATTCTATTGACTTTTTCGTTTTGCCAAAAAGTAAAACAATGAAAATAGATAATGAGTCTAATCGAATTGCCAAGCACATCACTCAAATCAAAAAGAATTATAACTTAGAGGTAGCTCACCCATAGGCTGTGTGTTAGAGGACTATTCCCCATTATGTTATCTCTTTTGCAATTTTCTTATTAGTTCGGCAAAAATAAGGAATGGTGATAAAAAAAATTTATAATACCTTTTTATTTTTAAAATACTTTTGAAGTGGTGTTTAGTTTGTATTTTTGTTTTTTCCTTGCCCAACCTAAGTCCCATTCCTATAAACTCAACACATGCATACCATAGATAATACATATAATCGAATATAATTTTTTTTTAAGAAATTACTTTTTTACTTTAATTTTTTTTTTTTCAAAATAACGTTACCAAATACCGAAGTTGGTAATATAGGTTTTGACACCATGGATTGCCAAGATGAACTTCAAACCATTCCAACCCACTTTGTGAATGACAACACAAGAAATTAACCAACCAAATTGCCAACATAACTTCCTGTTGCATTAATACACAAATGAATAATAATAACACAGAAACAACCCCCAACCCACCACAAAACCCCCCAAAAAGAATATACGGTGAAGCTGGAACCTGGGTTCTATCAGGAGTAATTTGTCATTTTCTAGACCAGAGAAATAAATAACTAGAAAAAAAAAAAAGAAGCTAAATTATTTGATGATCTCCATAATTTACAGCCTCGGCACGCTAACAAAAAGCACTTGGATATGGGAAATTCACCACAAAAAACACCCGCTTATTGCTATAAATGATGGGGATCTCTGAACTTAAGAGAGCTTCTTAACCAGCACAAAAAAGAGAAAAAAAACACATAGCTGTCACAAAAAACATAATTGTAAAAAAAATAAGAGCAACAACAGAAATTCATATGGAAGCTTCAACCAGTGGTTTATGGAGAATCGTAAATGGTTTCACTCAAATCTCATTCCGCACAAAATAAAAATGACAACCTAGACTGCATAGATATGTAACCTTTACATCGTCCAGGAGTTAATTCAACTTCATATGTTCATATATACAAAGAAAATTTTGGCAAATATAAGGAATAACACCAGGACTCACTCCCTGTCAAAACCAACATGCCTGTTCTTTTCCTATTTAATTTTTTGGCTGAACAGTCTTCACTTCTACATATAACCTATCATCAAGTGAGGATAATCCATCACTTCTGGTCAAATGCTTTTCACTATTAGCAATATGTCACTATTTGTGGATATAATATATAAGAGGAGGCATTCTCAACATTTGAAGTTTGAGTAGAGATGGGATGAAAGGCCATGGGATCATCGGCAATCCAGATATCAGTACCCGAGTTTTGACAGACGGGAAGACACATCAGTTGCAACCTCATCAAGGGTCTAAAACAAAAGCACAAATACTTCAGATTTTATGTAGCAAGATTAGATGGATATAAGTAGTGGAGAAATACTAGACAGTGAGAAAAAAAATAGAAACTAGTGCAAGGAATCCTCATCCCACGCTATCCGATTTTGATATTATGAAAAACTACCCATTAGATATCCATTTCACCACATCCGATTTTGATTTATGGAAAACTATCAATTAATTGATTCAACAAACTTTTTTCGAACTGCAAATGAATAGTTACAAGGGCAAAAATAATGGGAGCGGTTATATGGATAACTTGGAGGAATTTAATTGCATAAAACTTTCTTTAGTAATTAAACATGTCAAAATTCAGGAAAATCAGGACATGTGGACGGAATATCTCCCAAACCCTCTACCCCTAATTTATTAATAATTCATTGTTCCATCGCAAGGACCCGTGCCTTATATTTATCATAGCACCCAACAAACCTGCATTGCTATGAGCATGTACTCTGCAAGAAGTCCATATACTGATACATTGGTGAATCAGGACCCAGAAAAAAGAAATATAAAAGAAAGTTCTCTCCACAAAAATTTTGCTTCATATCTTAAGTTAACCATACACAAAGAAGAAGAAGACCCACCAAGCTTAGTCTTCACACAGGAACAAAAAGCAGGAAAGAGAGATGGAGAGAGTGTCTCTTTATTGAAGTGCATGAGTTGGAAAAGGAGTATAGGAACACGATGGCATAGCTACTGAAAGGATGTCAAATGGAGGATGGGGTTTGGTGAGCATGTCCAGATGGTTTCAAGAATAGCTTACATAATTGTAGTGAGGAAAGGAGGAAGAAAACTGGAGGAAGTGGGTTGGTGGGTGGAGTAGTTTGTGGGCTGGTGGGGTATATTTATGGAGGGAAAATGCTATGTTCACCAACTCTTTAACCAAATTATAGATCCCAAATGATGTGGTAGATTGAGACTTATTGGATAGTAAGTGAAAGCTTGTGGGACCTACTGATCCTATAGATCTCATTGATTTGGGATAGAAAATTTGGTAAAAGTTTTGGTGGAAGTAGTATTGTTGTTTATGGAGTATGTGTTAAGGGTTGATTTGAGGTAACCTTTGTTATCTAATATATTAATTCCAAAATGTCTAACTTCAAACAATATAAATTAGGTCATAATTCTGAGCAAGATTACCATATGCAAGGCCCAAGTCATATAAAGCTTCAGATAAACTTTTCAAAACGCTGGATATGAGTTTCATAGACACATAATAAAGAGGATAAAAGACGCAAACAGGCATCTGGCAGGCAACCAACATAATCCCTTCTCTCCTAGCAGTTCCTCATGCATAGCAATTTTAATGATGCATGCACCTCACATCCATCAAAATTTGCTAACCTACAGTGTTTGTTGCAGAACCTTTAGCAATCAAGATATGAGTTTCAGAAGTTTCTTGCAACAACTTCTGAAAATATTACCTCAACAGCTTGTTGGAGAGCATGGAACATTTCTCTGGTCCTTTTTCTTTTCATGACAACTTCATCCTGCTCCTCCAACATGTCTTCAAAAGAATTCTCTCTGCATGACATGAGCAAACAAATTATTGGAAACATTGCAACAAAAAATTCATTCAGATTCATGGCCCACAGCTGGCAGTCCAAATTGATTATTTGAAAAGCAGACATTTATCCCCTATAAAGAACAGGCATCACAATAAAAAATAACACAATGTAATCCCTGGCCATCAGTGCATCTTGATCACAATCAAGTGCCACAAACACAATCAAATGAATCCAAATAAGAAAAAGAACTCAGCACTTGATTTGATCATGTTCGAGTTCGTTTATGATCTAAAAATAGCCCCTATAAATGTCCCAAAACAAACCGATACATGATTGCTTCAGCTAGGTTGGGTCCAGGACAAACCTGGATAATATTGGCCGGAGAAGATCAAGACCCAGTTTAAATCAAATGAAAGTTGAAATAGGCTGTTGGGCACAATTAGGTAGTCTGTGCACCATGTTGAATGTAAACTTCGTAACATCATGCACTTTTTTGATGCTTGATGCATTTAGTTATATACTTTGGTACAGGCTACAGCTAACCGTGGCTAACTCACGTGGTTTATCATTCACCATATTTAGCCTTTCTCCCATGAAAATGAAAATAGCATACATCCCAAGTAAATGACTGCCACAACGTTATCATTGTTCATGGCTCCTGACCTATCTAAACCAAGCATTGCTGCTTGAGCTTAACTCACACCAAACAAGAAGAAATTCTAAGAATGCACTTAATGCATTTAGAGGCAGGAGCAAGCTTGAAAATTTGTAAACGAACCAAGCAAAGACTTAACAGTTTATCTGCTCACTTTACAGCTCTTCCAAAGTTCTAATCTAGAAAGGGGCTGGGGACAACATTGTTCATGGAAATCCATATCCGAATGTTTGGAGTCATTATAGATATTGCCATCAAGTTAATAAATATCAGTTCGACAGAGTTTGAAATCATCCACAGATATATTATGGAAACAAAACGAAATAATTTGCCAAAACTCCTTCTTTATCCAATATAATACCTGTACAGTTTCTGTATAAAGGTGCCAAGGAGATCCCTCTTTGTATGATTGACCTGGAGCATATTAACAGTAAAGCAAAGCTAAGATGAAAGAGGAACAGATAGCAACAGCAAAGTTAAATCTTCGTGCTACTTGGGGAGAATAAAAGATTGAATGATTGAAAGAGGAAATGGAAGAATTCCAGCAATATACCAGGAAGTGCATTACAGCTTTTGGAACCAAGTCTTGGATATTCTTTCTGACGATGTCATAATAAGATGCCAAGAGTAGTTTGGTTACCATTATTTCCGCCGCTTCGTTCTCTGTTTGTGTTTCTAGTGGCCTTAAGATGGATGGCGGCTGAAACAAGACAAGAGAGGATGGAATCAGGAATATAGAAGATAAACCACAACATAACTGAAATGAAAAATATACTTGATTCCTAGTTGATCACACAATTACCTCTCTTAGTTGGATAACAGACGGTTTCTGCTCAATATCATCCACGACATCAGCAGGAGATTTATTTGACGAGCTCTGTCCTGATGATCCCCGGCTTCCAAATACGGATGGAATGCCCCATGTCCTTGAGGTTGCATTACCTGTGAAGTATCAACTATCAGGTACAATGTAGCAGTTATGTACTTATAGCTGTTACTGACAAGAAGCAGTAACAAATAGGCCATAAACAGAACGAAATGACTCAAAAATATGCACCCACAACTAATCCTCCGATAAATTTATTTTTGTGCATATCTGAACTTGTGTTTGTCCAGCTGCGTTAAAAATAATAGGGCAAACTTCACTTTACCCCCTCATGGTATACTCCAAAAGCACATAACCCCCTTGCCATTAAAAATATCCACATAACCGTCACATACTTTGTGGACTAAATCGAAATGTTAACTCTGTCAACAGAAAATTAAAATGAACTTACTACCCTTTCTCTTCTTCTTCCCAAGCAAACCCCACCGGTTCTTAGTATCCCTATCACCTTCTCTCTAAAAACCAAGGCCACCCTCTGAACAATGGCACAACACAGTACAAAACTATAAACCACAACACAAAAAAGGACATTCTATATATCTCTCTTCCCTTCCTCCTCTCTATAGCAAACACTGCCTTACCACCACCACTGCAACGCCATTTTTTTTGTAGAACACTGCCCCCTTCCTCCTCTCTGTGGCTAACACCAAATACCAGTACCATTGCACTACCATTTTTTTGCAGATTAACACAACCACGTATGTCAAATTCCAATTAATTCAATGTAGAATTCAGTATAAAAATTGTCAATGGAAATTTTCAACAAAAATTTGTAGCAGAGAGTTTCAGTAGAAATTTTATGAAAAATTCGTTGTGGCAATGAACAACCCAGTCGTACACCTTTGTTGTAATGATCTCAAATTGCACTGATTTGTAGTACCTCAAATTGCATATGCTTCAAACTGGTTCACTTGTCGAGTCAATTTTGATGCAACTTCACTTCAACCAAATTGTTTCGAACCAAAGTGAGTTGAAATTGGAGTCACATCAGGATCATACTCAGGCGAGGGCTGACGATCCTTGTACCAACAAGTATCGGCAAAAGAAGCAATGAGACCTGAAGGGATAGGTGTTGGATGGAGGGAGGGAGAGAGAGAGAGAAAAACGGGTTGGTGGTGGTGGTGATTGAGAAGTTGTCGAGGGCTAGAGAGTTTTTTGAGAAGACCCTGGTGACTTCTGGTAGTGGACTGGGAAAGACAAAGAAGAGTAAAGAGGAAAAAGAGAAGGGGTTGATTTGCAACGGTGGTGGCTGTCTTCCAACAATGGATAAGGCAAGAGTGAGAGTTTGAGGGTGTGATGAAAGTAGTTTTGTCATTTTAAAATAATTCTTCACACCCACTCTTACAGTTAGTGTGCAAATCACACTGCCCATTATAATAAATGGAAAATATAACGTTGCAATTTAGTCCACAAAGTATGTGAGGGTTATATGGACATTTACTTTTGGGATATACCATAAGGGGGTAAAGTGAAGTTTGTCCAAATTAATATGATCTAGCATGTTTAGATCGCACTGATCACAGTTCTAGGTATATCATCTTCTCCATTTCTTGTGAAATAAGAAGCGCAGACACAAATACGGCACAACATGAACACACCGACATAAATTTTTTCAAAAAAATCAGACACGAACACATTGGGAATATGTTAAATAATATGTATATCTATATATATATATATATAATCATGTAATAAAATAAAAATATTATCTTAATAATCTTTTAATTCATTCTTTCCCTAATTCTAAAAATTCCCATCATGGTATCACTACATAAAAAATACAATATAAAATATAACGATACACATTCAATATTAACATCCATGATCCAACAATTAATGACTACTACAATTTTTATTTTAAAAAATATTCCCTTTTAATACTAATTTTCATCAATTTCAAAAATCTCCAATTTTGTAACTCCATTTTTTTCTCACATTACTTTCATATTAAAAGTATACTCTATTTATGTTTATCTTCATCTCCAAAATTATGTTAGATTCATTTCCTACGTTCAATGTAGTGATTATAACTCTTTTTATATTATGACTTTAATTCATCTCTTTAAAATTACAAAAATAACTCTTAATTATGAAGTTATATGAAAAATTTTCAAAAAATTGAAAATAAAATCCCAAAATGTGTCCCCAGTGTGTCGGTCGCGTGTCTCCAACGTGTCCTAAAAAAAATTAACAATTAAAAAATCGAACACTCATTTTAACGTGCCCGACAAGTGTCCGTGTTTCAGATGTGTCAAACACCAACACTCTCACCAAAACAAATTGTCTGTACTTCCTAGCTTGTGGACTTAATTTGGGGTGGTGATGTTAGCTTCCTACTCTCTTTCACATAATGTGATTTAATAGATAGTATGCATGTCTTTTCAGTTGCATCATTTTCACCAACTGTTTAATGTTTTTTTGAGCAATTCATCTAATCCCCATATAGCATGTTTCTTATCCCAAAATGCATTGATAAATGCATTCTAACAAGATTTTAGTATGGCAGTGTCACCACCATTAATGCAAGCATAATATTCTGTCTTGGGATCACCATTGCGCATCCCTTTCACTTAACAATCCTTTTTAATTTGACAAATAACAAAAAATACCCTTAATGAATAGAAATATGTTCGGTAAAAAAAGAGTAAGTAATGACTTAAAAAGTGGAAACAAGGATCACATAGAAAAAATTAAATATTTGGCTCTTGAACAAAGTTTTTATAGATAACAAACACCTTGAGAAGAAAAGAAAAGACAGAAAATAGTCATCCCTAACACCAACAAAGGTACTTTAGAAACCTTAATTGATGGGGAAAAGGGGAAATAAATTTGTAAATGGATTCTTTTAGTTGTTGACTCAATAGGTTACTACATTGTGACAATTGTTTTTGAATCCACAAATCATTTGATTCCCAGGTTAACCACACAAATTTGTTAAAATTCATTAGAATATGAGATTCAATTTCCAAATTCATACCAAAAAAGTATCATAAGATTCTAACAACTATGATGCAAGTTTAAAAAAACAATTTAGAAGCAACAATGTTTCACTGCCAACAAAACCGCATTTCCATCCCAAATTATGTTAAATTTGATCCAAAAATCAAATTAACAAGGATGGTCTTTGTTTTCATACACAATTAATGAGAAGATTGATAAGATATGTCCTTCAGGAGACGATCCGTAGGAATGATCCCACCTAGTCTATACATCTCTGTCGGAGGAGTGATGATGTGTTATTGTGGTTTGTTGATTAATAGGTTGTGTTGGATCAAAAAAAGATTAATAAATTGTGACAATCAAAATATAGGCAAAAATTAGCTAAAAAAAAGACATGAACATATATATACACATGTAAATTGAAAACCACAGATGCAGATCATGAATTGACCATGGAAGAAACTCAAAAAAAATTAAAATTGAAAATGAGAAATTAGGCCCAATTAAATACAAACACACATATTATCTATATTACAAAGTATGTAAGTGTTTCAGGTGTTCCCTTTTCTATAGGTTTAGAAGATTTTTTGTCATTTCAGGTATTTGTTCATAATTTGGTCCAGCCGAACATTGGTAAGGAAATTCTTGGGTGTCTGCTTAAGAAGTCATGTACCGGGGTGCTAGGAAATTGCCTCCCTAGTTGAAGGTTTAAGTGCAACAAGAACTAGTCAACTATAACTCAATCCATTTCTTTAGAAGTGTCAGATATCTAGTCATTAACCTATCTTGTTCATTAATTGTGTCATGTTCTGGTTGACAAGTATAATCCATAAACCAAAAATCCAAAGCTTCTCTCTCAACCAAACCCACCATAGGAAGCACGAACACAGACACGGGTATACAACAAAGTTTAAAAATATAAGACACATGTATGGCAAGGATACGACTATTAAAATAATAATATATTTTTTAAATAATAATTAAGTTGTAATATATAAAAAAAATAAAACATTTTATAAAAATATTAATAATAAGACCTAGCATTTTTTTGATTAAAATTGAAATAGATTAAAGTACAGATCCACCATTTTCATAAAATATCATTACATCCATTAACATTCACAATATATAAGTTGCATAACAAAAAAACATATTAAAAAAATAAAAAAAATACTCTATTTAATAGTTAACAGTTGTTTTTTTTAATAAAAAAAATTAGCCCACCACTCATAGGCTACAGTCTCCTTATATAGATGATCCACTTTATGCATGTATTATGAAAACCAAGTAAAAAGCCCTCTAATTCCACAAGCTGTATAAAACACCCCATTAAGAAATCAAAATATATAAAAAATTTGAACATGTCTAATACCAATTAGACAAGTTTGTTGTGACAATATCAGGTTATTAGCATCTTGCCTCAAACCTCTCTCTCTCTCTACCAGCCCTTGAACCCATAACCAAGTGGTTGAAATTTGAGGTCCACAACCACCAAGCTAGAAGGAAGGCCTCAAACCAGACTCAGTTACTGTGTGTCAGTGTTTTTGGTTCATGTTGGGGACTAGTTAACTTTAACCCGCCAATTTCATGTTCGTGTCATGTAAAACATTTCACCCAACTTGTTTTACATAAAAAGAGAGACTGTTTTCTACAGCACAATTTTTCAAGATTTTGAAGGATAAATTCCAGACTTGAGATATTGCTCAAACCCCAGTTAGACTTTCAAGCATTGGAGGTTTGGGTTTTGAGGAATTGACCTCATTGCGCCTTCAAATCCGTCTAGCCTTGCTATGTACTCGAGAGGCTAGCAAACCAAGACATTGTGTTCCTCAGTTCAGATCTGAACAGTGCCAGAATCAAGCATTTCATTAATTCTGAAAAAGATACTTGATCTTAATCTTCTAACAATGACATAACAGCCATTATTTGTGGGACGGTAACAATTTCTTGATCCGAACTTATCACTCCTATTAGATCAGTATATATTTGCTCAATTTCTTGCTCCTATTTGCATCATATTAAATCAGTATATTGGGTTCCTAGGGGGCTGCACACTTCAATTATAGGCCTAATTATTTTATTTGAGCCATGTTTGATAGGTCTTGTATTAACATCTAAGAATTCTTGGCCAGCACGATTATTCACATAGTTCTCTTGGTTTGCAAACTATAGTCTCCGATATGTTTAGTGTCGAATTGATCCGTTGCTGGAGCAGTGAATGAAACAGACTGTTGATCCAATTTACTAGTGTGTCCAACCTCCTCTTCATGTGATGCATAGAAACCCAGATGTGATGCCTATGCCTTTCTTTAAACTATATTAAGAAATGTGACTCTTATAGCTCTAGTGAGACACGACTCAACTTATCTCCCTTTCTGTCATTCATTTTCTTCTAATTATCTTCAAACCATCCATATTTTTCCCTTTTCCCAATGTATTATCTAATCAAGAGGATCATTTTTTTCTGGCAAAAAAGGTGCCCTACATCACACACATACACATGAAAACTAAATAAATGAGTCATATCCTTAAAAATAGCAAATATATTATTTAAAGCATAGTCATATATGATGATCTTTTGATCCATGCCAACCATGCACCAGTGATAAACATGTAAGATGAACGAACGGAAGAGAGAAGGGGAGGAGTGTATAGTTGGATGCCTTGTTCCATTGCCACCACTATAAAGAACGAGCATACCTACTGACGCCGGTTTATCATTGTTCGACTGAGTCCGACCTGCCTGCCACATACATGCATGAAGTAAATGAAAGAATAATTGGAAAGTAAATGATCAAAATAAGCAGCCCAATTTTGGGGTCAAATGTAAAGATACAAACATCTTATTTTCCAGGAAAGAGCCTGAACTACATAACATCCAGTATTAGGTCAAGTCAAATATGTTTTCACGCTACAATTACGACAGCTTTAGAGACACCAACCATAACTACACTACTTCCTACACAATGCAAGATGTACAAAAGCTTGACATTATGGAGGAAAGAATGCACCCATAGAGCTCAAGCTGAAGCTCAACCAATTTCTGGTCCACGTATTTATTGTTTTATAATTCATATTATTCAAATATTTCTGAAAATCTAACAATGAGGCAGCACAATATTACTATTCTTAACAGAAGCTTGAACCCATGAGCTTATGAACATACCTCAAAACCCTAACCAGCCACACGACACTAAATGATACATTAGATGGTCAAACTAGAGAAATGAAATATGGATGTGACGCACAGTTGGTTTAATGGGATATTAGTTGGGCCAAGTTTCAGAATGAGCTTTGTGTAGCCGAAGCTTGGCACGCATCAATTTAGAGCCCTGAATCGATGAACTTTACCCCTTCCCAATCTCACACTGTTCTCGGCCCAAGAAATTTTACAGAGACAATTCCAGGTTTATGGGTTTTATGTGAGCATGGAGAGGCCACCCATAGTGAAATACCAAATATCTTGCTGACAGGAGTCATTTATTGTCAAATAAAATAACAATAGTTTACAATGCCAAGGGAATAATGTGCATTTCGCTTGATACATCAGAGATCCATGAAAGAATGGTTTCCTCCAACTACATGTATATATTATCTCAAAGATGATCTTCGATCAAGAGAGGGACCAATCCTTAGAGTTTTCAACAAATCATTCATACCCTCATTAGTTTTACTCTTCCTACAGATCTTATTTTCCTTTCTTTCCCCCTAGGATTTGTCCATGCTTTCTTTTTGTACGTATTTCTAATCCTTTTATGATTCTTTGTCTTTCTTTAATAAGAACTTAATCTTCTTTTTTTGACATATTATGATCATTCACAACATTTTCTGTTGTTCAGGAAAAAAAGGAATTGAAAAAAAAAAAAGTAACGAAAAATAACTGGTTAGGCAAAACACCATTCATGACTGACTTAGCTACGACAGCTCAAGATTTCTGGCCCACCTCTGACATGGGCACCTTTTAAACATCATTACTATCCTGAATCACATGCCAAATACTCGAAGGTTTTATCAACACAATCTCCAAATTCATGGTGTCCAAAATGTGGAGGAAAAAAAATACAGGAGCTATTGGTTCAAAACCTTGAATTTGGTTACAGAAAAGTGGTTAGCTGATACCTCTGAAGATCTCACGTGTTGCATCGCAAGCTCCACAGCTTTCTTCCCACCAATAAAATTTGGATGCGAAGAATTAATATAATCCATCTGAAATTCAAAAGAAAACTAGCACTTCTATAAATATCATGGATATCTAGAATATAAGTTAAGGATCTTATATGGTTTAATAGTTTCAAGCACATGTTAAATGCAATCAACGGATCTACTTTTGAGGAGATAAATATAAAAAGTTGTGCATCAGGCATAGCAGGCACACAATACAGAAGCAGGATATAATAATTGAAATTGACAGAACTTGAGGCATTTTGTAAGGGAAGCTGGTTTTATGAGATCAATCATTTTCTTTTAAAACAGTAGCAAGTGACAGCCGAAAGGGCAGTTAAAGCCCCAGAAACCCAAAAAGAATTCATTTCAAGTGATTTGTAACCTTGAAGTGCCAAAAACTAGCACCCACAGCGTAGATAGAAGAGTGTATATGCAGCCATTTTGCATAAACATGGAAAATACTTCTTGTAAAACAAACACAATGCTAGGAAAGTGAATCAAGTGATTGGATAACCTCCATCTCAATAATGTTGCAAATCATGCTTTCAGCAGGTTTCACTCCATCACGCAGAAACTTTCCCATCACTTCATCCAGACGCCTTCTCAACAAAGGAAACCTTCGTATCTCAAATGCTTCACAAGCACGGCTCATCTGCACAGAAATTTTAACAGCCCAATAAGTCTGATCTCCTGCATAGAGAGAGAGGAGGAGGAGGGGGAAGAGGACAATGTGGTTGTCTTTACCTGTATTAGTTCATCATAGACATATCGTAAACACTGGAGGCTAGGATCTAACAACCGACCAATTTGTCTTCTAACCAAAACTTCAAATGGGACCTAAAATATTCATAATTAGACAACAAATTCTGAAACGCCATTGAAACATAAGGATGAGCATTAACTATGTAAAACTAAAACCTGTATATACAATCATGACACACCTCGGGCACAAATAAAGCATTTCTGGTACCAGTTGCATTTTGAATTGCCGTCCTAATATCCTCGTTAGTTAGATCTTCGCAAGGATCCACTCCCTAAATACACATTTGAGCAGTTAATAGTCGATGCAGCAGATGACTTGTATCGTCATTATTAAAATCTTTCAGAATAGATATGAATAGATCAACCCAGATGACAGTCTCGAGCAAAAGAAGAGAGGGAGTCAAGTGAACATGATGACAGTGCCGAGCAGAATAAGGGGGTCAAGTGAGCAAAGCTTCAGTTTAACTCTTTGATAGAGACAAAATTGCCATGAAAGATTAGCAGTAATTGAAGTACTTGCATCAAGTACTGAAAATGAAGTCCACACCTCCAAGCTCTTCACAAAAATTGACTGAAAAATGTAGTGAATCCTTGCTCCACCGGACAACTCTTTGGTTGACATCTCTTGACTTTTCCCATCCAACATATCAGAAAAGGCTGTTAATTGGTGTCATACAGAATAAAAATTATAAGCTGTAGGCTGTCGCAAACTCCTGTAAAGGAAGAAAGCAACTCTCAAGAAAGTTGCTGAAAGCAGAGAGAGAGAGAGAGAAACACAACACACAAAAACAATCTGGGTATGAATGTAAAGAATGAAACAATTTCAAAACTCAATCAAGGGGAACAACCACTAGCCAAAAAAATTAAAATTGCACCACTTTGAGAGGATATATTTAATTCTTTTTCTGTATCCAAAAAATCCAAGATAAAGGTTTCCAGATATGGAGAAAAAACTTACCACACACTTGATTCAACAACAGAAAGCAGATGGCAATGTGTTACATAAAGCAACAGTTTGTTAGCCAGGACAAAGTATAACAACTAAAAGATAAAAAATAAAGGGACATCTGCAAGTATGATGGAACCATCTAGTAGAAAAGATAAAATGACCAGGCAGAAACTGCCACATAACTTTGAAAGGATAACCAGAGGTCTTCTCTTTGCGCGCTCTCCGAATTGCAACAACTCACTAGTCTAAACCAAGCTATTTAGGCTAATGATAGTTATGATTTTGTCCAACCATAACTGACTGAATCGAAAAGAAATTTCAACTGTTTGTAAATCTGCATTTTGGCCCACATTCCTTGAAATTTAAATTTTCAATATCATAAAAATAATTGCAATCTTTGCCAGCAATTTCTGTCAAATATGTTTCAACAAAAGAGTCATAAATTTTATTAATTTGCTGAAATATCAAAGAACTCAAGCAAAAGAACAGATATTGACTCTTTCTGGCTTGCGAAGTTAACTCAATAAAGCCTTGTCCCAACATTTTTTGGGTCAGCTACATGAATCCTCTTTCTCCATTGTGCTCTATCAAGGTCCATGCTTTCTATTAAACCATAAGCTAGGAATCACGGATACGGATACGTGATATGAGTACGATACAATATAGATACGGATACGGCAATATGACAAAAAATAAAAAAACAAGATACGGGTATGGCCAAAGGATATGTCTATAATAAAATATATTTTATATTTTACTATTATTTAACGACTTAAAAATTACTATTTTCAATAATTCTTTAACAGTTGTAAGTAAAATTAAGAATTTTTACCTTAAAAAATATGTAATATCATCTCTTTATGTCTATAAAATGAGTGTGGCCAATTAAAGAAATCAGAACCACATTTAACTGGTTAGTTTATTTATAAGTATTTGTTTTTAAGATTATAGTGTAACTAACTCATTTTCTATACTCTTTTAACATGTAATAGTAAATAATAGTTAAAAAAACACTCGTGTCTTTAAAATCAAATGGAATTTGATTGATATTTTGAATTGTATGTGACTAAGAAGTACGAACACTTCAATTTGGCCAGAGTGTCAGTGTCAGACACGTCTGGAACATAGACACGCTTCGAACACATATCGAACACTCTAAAATGAGTATTAGAATTTTTTATTGTTAAATTTTTTTAACGACACATTGAGGACATGCAGCCGACACGCTCAGGTCACATTAGGGACACGGTCAAGACATGCGACCGACACATTTGGGGACATGTTTTGAGATTTCTTTTTAATTTTATGAGAACTTTTTAGATAACTTTATAATTAAAAATTATATTTGTAATTTTAAATAGATGAATCAAAGTCATAATATAAAAGAAGTTATAATCATTACTTTAAACATAGGACATGAATGTAATATAATTTTAGATACGAATACAAACTTATATACAAATAAAATAAACTTTTAATATGAAAGTAATGTGAGAAAAAATTGGGTTACAAAATTGGGGCTATTTGAAATTGATAAAAATTAGTGTTACGAAGTGGAATATTTTTGAATTAAAGTTGTAATAGTCATTGATTGTTGGATCATGGATGTTAATGTTGAATGTGTATCAGTGTATCTTATATTGTACTTTTTATAAAGTGATATCATGATGTGAATTTTTAGAATTAGGGAAAGGATGAATTAAAATATTATTATGATAATATTTTTATTTTATCACATGATATTATATATATATTATTTAACATATCCCCAGCATGTCCGTGTCCTACTTTTTTTTAAAAATTCGTATCGGCATATCTGTGTCTGTATCCCATATCCGTACTTCCTAGGTATGTGAACTCGAAAAGAGAGGGTATAAATTATAACTAAAAAGTGTACATCTTACTCCATATTTAGAAGTACCTGCAAAATATCCACATATTTTATTAATTATTAGATATATATGATGCGTATCTGATACGTATCCTCGAATATCCGATGATTATCATATCTGATATGGCTACGTCGGCCTTGAAAAAGTATTCATACTTCATAGACCACAAGTTATTAAATTTTTCTTTACTATTTCACTTGAAGTTAAGTTTGACCTCCTCCTATCCCTACGCTCAGTGTTTTGAAATGCTCGCCTAGGCACTCGTCTAGGCGAGAAGCGAGGCGAAGAGAAGGTATCTCGCCTTGAACACCTCAGGCGAAGCAAACATGACTGAAGCAAGAAAAAAGTAAGAAAAGCGAGCGTCTTGCGCTTAAGCAAAAGGCAAAAAAGCAAACGCCTTAGTCATGTGAAGTGAAGTAGTCTTTTATTTTTATTATGGACCGTTAGATTGTTTTATTTTTATTGTGGACCGTTGGATTGGGGCAATTGAAAAAAAAAATTATAAGATGTCANGTGAAGTGAAGTAGTCTTTTATTTTTATTATGGACCGTTAGATTGTTTTATTTTTATTGTGGACCGTTGGATTGGGGCAATTGAAAAAAAAAATTATAAGATGTCAATACACCCAATTACCCCCGTATCCTATAAATATAAAACTCAAACCCTAATTTTCAGGATCAAACCATCGCTGCTGCTCCTTCCTCTAACGATCGTCATTGCTGCACCTTCCTCTCTGGTTAGGAGNCAATACACCCAATTACCCCCGTATCCTATAAATATAAAACTCAAACCCTAATTTTCACGATCAAACCNTGGATTGGGGCAATTGAAAAAAAAAATTATAAGATGTCAATACACCCAATTACCCCCGTATCCTATAAATATAAAACTCAAACCCTAATTTTCAGGATCAAACCATCGCTGCTGCTCCTTCCTCTAACGATCGTCATTGCTGCACCTTCCTCTCTGGTTAGGAGATCGCTGCTGCTCCTTCCTCTGGTCAGGCGATCGCTACTGCTGTGCTAGTCAGCGACAAGACTATTGCTGCTTCTCCTTTCTCGCTGGTTTAGGGTTGTCTCTTCTTTTTCTTCTCTCTTATGTATCTCTTCTTCCTCTCTGATTCTGTTTTTTTTTTTTGCTCCTTCTTCCTGTTTTTTTTTTCTGCTTCTTCTTNTACTGCTGTGCTAGTCAGCGACAAGACTATTGCTGCTTCTCCTTTCTCGCTGGTTTAGGGTTGTCTCTTCTTTTTCTTCTCTCTTATGTATCTCTTCTTCCTCTCTGATTCTATTTTTTTTCTTCTGCTTCTTTTTGCCATAGTTGTCAAATTGTATCGGAAGACGTATCGTTTTTTAAAAATAGTATATCGTATCATATCGTGTATCGTAAGATACGCACAATTTTTATTTTTAAATAATTATTAATAAAATATATGTATATACCTTTATAAAAAAATCATAGACTCATAATAACATAGTATTTTATTAATATTCCACAAACTATTCAAATTTTCAATTTAATTCAGTAATATCAAAATGCAAAGACCTTTAATTCAAACTTCTAACATCAACTGTTTGACCAACTTTAATATTAATTAGAAATTTTGAATTTAATTGCCCAACATTAACATTAGACTTTATTTATTTTTTTAAACTATAACCAGTGAAACGACGTTGTTTCACTAGCTAGTGATTTAAAAATAAGTCTTAGGGTTAAACAATGTTATTTCAACCCCAAAAAAATAAAAAACAAAAAAAACAGAATCGTCACGTATCGTATCATACGATACCGTGTAAAAACGATACAGAGACACGATACGTATCGTTTTTCAGGTGTATCGTGACGTATCGTACGATACTAATAACTATGTTTTCTGCTGTTTTTTTTTCCTCTTCTTCTTTCTGTTTTTTTTTCCTGCTTCTTCTTTCAGCTTCTTTTTTCTGCTTCTTTTTTTTCTCGTTTTTTTTGCTTATGATTTTTTTGATGATTCTGATTTTCTAATTTTGATACTAATTTTCAGCTAATGATTTTGATTTTAATGCTGCTGATTTTTGAATAGCTGCTGATTTTAATGCTGTTGATTCTGAATAGCTGATTTTGCTGATAGTGTTGTAATGCTAAATGCTGGTAGTGTTGATTTTGCTGAATGCTAATGTACTGATTTTTTGCTGATTATACTGAACGCTAATTTTCTATACTGTTTTGTTCCTTTGACTATAGTGTGATAGTGATATAATGTTGAATGTTTTTTTTAATTTAAATTAATGTTTTTTTTTAATTTAAATGTTTATAGTTTACTTGCATTTAAATATTTAGTATATATAAAATTTGAACTTAGATGTTTAGAAGTAATTAAACTAAAATATTTTTTTTTTTTTAACTGTTCACTTTGCTTTGGTAAAGCGTTTCGTTTTGCTTCTCGCTTAGGCGTTAGGAGCCTTGGTTGCTTCGGTTCGCTTTACTCCTTAAATAACACTGCGTACGCTTACCTTCAATAACTATCATATCACTCGTTTTCACCTGTGCCAAAGTAGGTCGTCTATAGATGTGTCTAAACTACCTAAGTCAATTCTCCCTTAATTTATCCCTCATAGATGTCACCTCACCTTTTTCATGGATAATGTCGATGTTAATTACAAAATGTCCCCTTCAAGTTTAGGTGTTATTGCAATTAGATCCCTCTGGTTTTAATTTAAATAAGTTACCCCCTTCAAGTTTTCAATGGAGTACATTAACTAATAAAATGGAAGAAATTTTTAGAAGTCCTAAAATGCCCTTCTAACC